TAAAAGGGATTTTAGAGCAAGCAATTGAGGAAACGCAAGGGGTTTGAGGTTGAATGAGCGAATGCAAGGGATTTTTGAGCAAGCAATTGAGGGAACGCATAAGATTTGAGAGTGAACGAGCGAACGAGAGCGGTTTCAGGGTGAACGAGCGAATGCTGTCCCTCATTTGCTTAACCTAAAATCCCATTTCGTGAGTGAATGTGAGTTTTGTGAGCGAGCGAACAGGATGAGTTTTGTGGGAGGGGAAAAAGCATGGGGTTTTAGACCAAGCGACTGAGGGAACGCATGCGATTTGAGAGTGAACGAGCGAATGCGAGGGGTTTAAGGGTGAACGAGCGAATGCATCCCTCACTTGCTTACCCTAAAAACCCATTGCGTAAGCGAACGGGACGAGTATTGAGGGAGGGGAAAAAGCATGGGGTTTTACACCAAGGGACTGAGGGAGTTGCATGCGGTTTGAGGGTAAACGAGCGAATGCAAGGGATTTGAGAGTGAACGAGCGAACGAGAGTGGTTTCAGGGTGAACGAGCGAATGCGGTCCCTCATTTGCTTAACCTAAAATCCCATTTTGTGAGTGAATGTGAGTTTTGTGAGCGAGCGAACAGGACGAGTTTTGAGGGATGGGAAAAAGCATGGGATTTTAGACCAAGCGACTGAGGGAACGCAAGCGGTTTGAGGGCAAACGAGCAAATGCAAGGGATTTTTGAGCAAGCGACAGAACGCATGCGATTTGAGTGAACGAGCGAATGCAAGGGATTTTTGAGCAAGCAATTGAGGAAACGCAAGGGGTTTGAGGTTGAATGAGCGAATACAAGGGATTTTTGAGCAAGCAATTGAAGGAACGCATGCGATTTGAGAGTTAACGAGTGAACGAGAGCGGTTTCAGGGCGAATGAGTGAATGCATCCCTCACTTGCTTACCCTAAAAACCCATTGCGTAAGCGAACGGGACGAGTATTGAGGGAGGGGAAAAAGCATGGGGATTTACACCAAGGGACTGAGGGAGTTGCATGCGGTTTGAAGGCGAACGAGCGAATGCGAGTGGTTTAAGGGTGAACGAGCGAATGCAAGGGATTTTTGAGCAAGCAATTGAGGGAACGCATACGATTTGAGAGTGAATGAGCGAACGAGAGTGGTTTCAGGGCGAACGAGCGAATGCATCCCTCATTTGCTTACCCTAAAAACCCATTGCGTAAGCGAACGGGACGAGTTTTGAGGGAGGGGAAAAAGCATGGGGTTTTAGAACAAGTGACTGAGGGAGTACATGGGGTTTGAGGGCGTACGAGCAAATGCAAGGGATTTTTGAGCAAGCGACTGAGGGAACGCATGCATTTTGACAGTGAATGAGCGAATGCAAGGGATTTTAGAGCAAGCAATTGAGGGAACGCATGCGATTTGAGAGAGAACGAACGAACGATAGCGGTTTCAGGGCGAACGAGTGAATGCATCCTTCATTTGTTTACCGTGAAGCCCCATTGCGTAAGCAAATGGCACAAGTTTTGTGGGAGGGGAAAAAGCATGGGGGTTTAGACTAAGCGACTGAGGGAACGCATGCGATTTGAGTGAACGAGCGAACGAGACAGTGAATGAGCGAATGCAAGGGATTTTAGAGCAAGTAATTGAGGGAAAGCATGGGGTTTGAGGGTAAACGAGCGAATGCAAGGGATTTTTGAGCAAGCAATTAAGGGAACGCAAGGGGTTTGAGGTTGAATGAGCGAATGCAAGGGATTTTTGAGCAAGCAATTGAGGGAACGCCAGGGGTTTGAGAGTGAACGAGCGAATGCGGTCCCTCATTGCTTACCTTAAAAGCCCATTGCGTGAGTGAACGTGAGGAGTTTTGTGGGCGAGCAAACGCGAGGAGTTTTTGGTTTGTTTGCTTTGGGTGCTGCACGCTGATTTTACAGCGGACATGTTAAAATAAACCGTGCAACTTGGTTGACTGCATTTTAGTTTGACGAAGGGCTAAAATGTCAGGCAACGCTAGAACTAATGTTGTTTGTGTGTGCGTGAGGCGTCCGTGTGATCAGATGAATTAAATCAAATAAAGATATAAAGAAATGAAATAACATGCATTAAGAGTGTCACAAAAACAAGCGTAGCCTATACTTGTTGCAGTTTTTTTCTCTTTTGTTATTCTGTTAATTATATTATAGCCTATTTATAACATATATTTTGTGTGGCCTTTTTTTTTATTACGTTCATAGACTTAATTTCGGTTTTCTCCGTTCAAGCGCTGTAGGTGCATGATGCGACGATAGAATCCTCATGGTCTGTGGTTTACATTGCTATTCGCGCACAAAGCTAAAGCCCTGAATAAAACTAAACAAAAGACATTCTAATCTTACTGGTCAGTGATCGACTAATTAGCTTCGGTTGTCGGTCAGGAATATAAACTAAATGAACAAAATGCGGTCATTCTACAATTCTCCACCAGATTTATATGCTGCGCTTAAGTTCAGGTAATTAAAAAAAAAACTTGCGTACACGAGCTGAGACCAGACGTGAGATTTGATCGTAGCCACCGCCCACGTCCATATTGATAATTTCCAAGTTTTGCGTTGAAACGACCGTACACCCAATTTCCTAATGTACGTTCATTTTGAATGACTACTTATTTCTTACTGGTAAATTCTGAAAGAAAGAAAAAACCTAACAAAAGGTTAATTATTTGACCAAAAACCTCCGTATGTAATAACCTAGAACACTGTTTAACTCTATGGCTGCTCTGTTAATTCCTCGTCATCAGCTAGGAACCTGGGTGTGCTATTTGATAGCAATCTTTCCTTTGAAAACCATATTTCTAGCATTTGTAAAACCACATTTTTAAGATTTGTCATATCACCCCAAGTCTTCCTCACCTTCGAGCTGAGGCTTTCCATCGAGCTCCAGACGATGAAATGAAGAGAGGAGATGAGAGACTGTCAGAATGGTAAGGAAATAGATGTTAGAGGGAAAGGAGAGCTCCAGGCTCCTGTCCGCCCATAACTTCTTTTCCCCTCATTGTCCTTCTCTCTTCTCCCCTCCTCATCCAGCCTCGCTCGTCTCTCTTCTCTCTCGCAGGACGTCTCTGCTGATGAAAAGGAACAAACACAGTCTGTTAAAAGAGGGATAAAGCTAGCTTGAAATCACACATTTTGAAGGTGGAATAACAGAAAATTCAGGGTGGTTGTTTCTAAAATGTAATGCCCGCTTTTCACATCCAATCAGCACCCAATTGTTAAGAACCAAGCATTTTTCTCCATGCTCAAACTCATTTCACTCAGAAATATATCATGCAGCCTGGGATTAAACTCCACTGCAGTAACTTTAACACGATTTTCATACTAGCTCTAGATTTGAATCTGTAGTCATCATTCAAACAAGTTATGCTGATTTTTACTCTCAACCTGATTTTGTATCCGTTTTGTGATTAGTCCACAGTTGTAGGGAACCTATCTAAGCGGGCCTATAAGACATCTCTTGACCAGATTGAGGCGGCGGCGTTCCCAGCAGCAGTCCAGTTGCGCTCTCCTTTGTTTTGTTTACCCAATCATTTTCTCTCCCCACTTTGTTAAGCCTTTATTTTAAATAAATTTCCCTATGAACTGAGCCTTTTATGTTATATCTATTTGCGGCCTGACGTAACATACCAATTTGCAAAATGCTACCAAATTGGACAAATGCCCCGGGCAAAAAATTAAGGGTTTTTCCAGTCTTTACATTTTAGAATTAGTAAAACATACCATGCATATTTAAATCTGGTAACACTTTATTTCGATAGTTCACTTTAGACATTCTATTAACAGTAAGTAATTTTGCAACTACATGTCAACTAGCAGTTAGTAGAGTATTAGTAGACTGTCTGCTTAATATCTTCTAACACTTTCTTTGTCAACTTATTCTACTAACCCTAAACCTACCCTAACGATCTACTCTGAGAGTTAGTAGACATGTAATTGCAAAATAATGAGAATTAGTTGACATGTAGTTATAAAGTTACTTATAGTTAATAGAATGTCTAAAGTGGACTATCCAAATAAAGTGTAAGCTTACATCTTTCCTTTCTCATTAAAAAAACAACTTGAGCCTAGAGAATTAGTTTGAAAAGGGAGATTTGAGATCGTTCTGTATTTGTCAAAGATATTAGTAAAGGCAGTATCCTCTCCGCTATGTTCCTTCAAGAGAAATGCTATCTGTGAGTATTTCCAGTCAGAATTTAGACTGTACCATAAGTACTGAGACAGCTCTAAGAGTAACAAATTACCAGCTCTTATCATCTGATCGTGGTTGTATATCTCTATTAGCGCTACTGGATCTTAGCTCTGCATTTGACACGATCGACCACAACATTCTTTTGAATAGACTTCAAAATGATGTTGGCATTGGTGGAAGAGCATTGGTATGGTTCAAATTCCACTTATCCGACCATCATCAGCTCGTTGCAGTGAATGATGAGGTATCATATCGATCACAAGTGCAGTATGGAGTACCACAAGGTTCAGTACTAGGACCGTTGCTTTTCACGCTTTACACGTTACCCCTGAGAGATATCATCAGGAAACACGGTGTTAGCTTTCACTGTTAAGATGATGATACTCAGCTCTATATTTCTTTGCAGCCAGACGAAACATACGAATTTGCAGAAACAACAGAAAAAAAACGAAAAAAAAAAACTGGATGACCTCCGCATGTAATAACATAGAACACCGTCTAAAACTCTATGGCTGCTCTGTTAATTCCTCGTCATCAGCTAGGAACCTGGGTGTGCTATTTGATAGCAATCTTTCCTTTGAAAACCATGTTTCTAGCATTTGTAAAACCACATTTTTAAGATTTGTCATATCACCCCAAGTCTTCCTCACCTTCGAGCTGAGGCTTTCCATCGAGCTCCAGACGATGAAATGAAGAGAGGAGATGAGAGACTGTCAGAATGGTAAGGAAATAGATGTTAGAGGGAAAGGAGAGCTCCAGGCTCCTGTCCGCCCATAACTTCTTTTCCCCTCATTGTCCTTCTCTCTTCTCCCCTCCTCATCCAGCCTCGCTCGTCTCTCTTCTCTCTCGCAGGACGTCTCTGCTGATGAAAAGGAACAAACACAGTCTGTTAAAAGAGGGATAAGGCTAGCTTGAAATCACACATTTTGAAGGTGGAATAACAGAAAATTCAGGGTGGTTTTGTTTCTAAAATGTAATGCCCGCTTTTCACATCCAATCAGCACCCAATGGTTAATAACCAAGCATTTTTCTCCATGCTCAAAAACTAATTTCACTCAGAAATAAATCATGCAGCCTGGGATTAAACTCCACTGCAGTAACTTTAACACTATTTTCATACTAGCTCTAGATTTGAACTTGTAGTCATCATTCATACAAGTTATGCTGATTTTTACTTTCAACCTGATTTTGTATCTGTTTTGTGATTAGGTTCCATACACCTGTGGACTAAGCGGGGCTTTAAGACGTCTCTTGACCAGATTGAGGCGGCGGCGTTCCCAGCAGCAGTCCAGTTGCGCTCTCCTTTGTTTTGTTTACCCAATCATTTTCTCTCCCCACTTTGTTAAGCCTTTACTTAAAAGGCTCGGTTCATAGGGAAATGTATTTAATGTTATATCCATTTGCTGCCAGACGAAATATACCAATTTGCAAAATGCTACCAATTTGAACAAATGCCCCGGGCAAAAAATTTAGGGTTTTTCCCCAGTCTTTACATTTTAGATTTAGAAAAACATAATGCCATGTAGGGCTGGACAATAATTCGATATCAATATGTATCGAGATATAATTTTTTTCAATAATGGTGATATGATTTTTAAACACATTTCCGATATACATTACCAGTTTTAACACTCTAAAAGCGCCTCCTGCTGGCAGAGAATGAGTTTTCATTTTAAATAAGCCCCTGTAAATGGCGCATCATGCACGTGAGGTTATCTGACAGAGAGACGCAAAGCAGTTTAAAGCAGAGTCCTGCACGGGTCCTGTTAGGTAAACCTGCGTCCACAGTAGCTACACAACAGAACACACGACCCGTTATCCGACAGCAGCCAGCACCAATTTAATTCTGTACCCGACCCGCGACCTGAACCGCACCCGCATTAAATAGGCTACTGCATCAGTAAGGCAAAATTATTCCATTGAGTAATTTTTTTTTCAGGATTCTTTGATGAATAGAAAGATCCAAAGATCAGCATTTATCTGAAATAAAAAGCTTTTGTAACATTATACACTATTCCATTCAGTATCATTTTTATTAATTTTTTGGGAAAGACATTAATACTTTTATTTAGCAAGGATGCTTAAAATTGATCAAAAGTGATGATAAAGGCATTTATAATGTTACAAAAGATTTCTATTTCAGATTAATAGTGTTCATATCGATATCGGAATTATATCGTATCGACCGAAATTAAGAAATATATCGTGATATCAACTTTGGCCATATCGTCCAGCCCTAATGCCATGCATATTAAAATTTTTCCTTTCTCATTAAAAAAAATGACAACTTGAGCCTAGAGAATTAGTTAAATACAGAACGATGTCAAATCTACCTTTTCTGTCAAAGATATTAGTAAACGCAGTATCCTCTCCCATCTTATGTTCCTTCTTAGAGAGAAATGCCATCTTAACTTACAGAAAAATGTTAGATAAGCAACAGATCAAAATTAAAAGGGAAAAGGAAATAAAATATACAATCAAAATATGTAATTCACCAGTTGGAACGTTAAGGGACTGAATTCCCCGGTGAAGCGAAATAAAGTTCTTAATTATTTGAAATATTTGAATACCAGCATAGCCTTTATTCAGGCAACACACCTTCGGCCTGCATATCATCTCAGATTTATAAAAGGCTGGGTAGGTCAACTTTATCATTCTAGATTCTAGAGTAAGTCTCGAGGTGTAGCTATTCACATCCTTAAATCGGTTCCTTTTTCTGTCACTGAGGTCATCCCGGACCCTAATGGGCATTTTATTATTCTTAGAGGACAGATTAACGGAGTCTGCTTGATTTTGGCAAATATATATGGTCCTAATTGGGATGAGGCTTATTTCAAAAAAGTGTTGTTTTCGCTCCCTGATCTGCATTCCAACCAACTAATTCCGGGGGGGGGGGGGGTTTAACTCGTCTAGACCTTCTTTTAGACCGTTCCCCATCTAGGCTCTGTGCCTAGTCTAAATCTGGCAAGATTATCAAGCTTTTTATGAAACAATATGCGGTTCCTGATGTTTGGCATCTTTAAAATTGTAATACAAAACTATTCTCCTCCTTTTCCCCTGTCCATCATTCTTTCTCCCGTATGGACTACTTTTCGGTTGATAATAAATTGCTCTCATTGGTTAGTTCATGTATTTATAATACTATTGTAATTTCGGCTCATGCTGCGGTTACACTTGACCTTCCAGGTTTTTCAATGTCTCGATCCCCTTGGCACTTTAATTCCTTACTTCTTAATGATCCTGATTTTATAGCAGCTATTAACGATCATATTGACCTCTTTATTTCCACAAATTCTCCCCCAGATGTTTCAGCTAAGACAATTTGGGAGGCATGTAAGGCTTATTTAAGGGGAGAAATTATTTAATATGCAGCCTATAAAGAGAAAAACGATGAATGAAAGAAGGTCTAAAAACTCTACATCTTTAGCAGACCTCCAGTCTAATGGTCAACTCTGCCTTTGTGTAAAAACTTGGCAAAGAGGTCTAAATTGGTAGCGTTTGATCTACTTGCTACAAATGAGGCAACTGATGCTCTCCATAAAACTCACTGCAATTATTAGTCATATCGTCAGTTGAGTCAATCTGTGGCCTCACACTTTATTACTCAAATCTCCACCCCCAGTGGGCCTTCAGTTAACCCACTAACTATTCATGACCAGTTCAGAGATTTTTATGCTTCTTTATATACCTCAGAAAACAGTTGAAGAGGCTCAAATCCATAATTTTTTCAGTTTCCTAAATGTGCCTCGTATTGATTCTAATATTTCCTTTGATTTGGCAGCTCCACTTTCATTGGATAAAATTAAAAATGCTCTTAGTCTAATGCAAAATGGCAAATGCCCAGGACCTGATGGTTTCCCTGCAGAATTTTTAAAGACATTTTCTGATAAATGAACACCTCTTTTGCTTAACATGTTTAATGAGTCCTACAATTCAGGTATCCTTCCTTACTTTTTATGGCAGGCTATTCTTTCCCTTATTCTTAAGAAAGATAAAGATCCTTCTCAGTGCAGTAGCTATTGTCTCATCGCTTTACTTTGATCTGATGTGAAGCTATTAGCTAAAGTCCTAGCAAGACGTTTGGAAGCTGTTCTTCCTGCCATAATTCCTCCAGACCAAACAGGATTTATTAAAAATAGACACTCTTTTCATAATATTAGACACCTTTTGAATATTCTTTCCTCTTCCTCTTCAAATGTATCTCCAGAATGAGTTATTTCCATGGATGCTGAGAAGGCATTCGATAGAGTCGAGTGGAGCCATTTGATTTTTTTTTACACTAAAGAAATTTGGTTTTCCTGATCAATATAAATTGATCTTGGATTATGCTTTTATATCTCCCACAGCATGTGTACGAACAAATAATAATTATTCTAAGTATTTCACCCTTGGTCGTGGGACTAGACAGGGCTGCCCACTCTCCCCTCTGCTATTTGCAATAGCCATTGAGTCATTGGCAATTGCTTTTAGATCCTGTTCGATGGCTGGTATACAGAGAGGTTAAGCTATCTCTATACGCAGATGATCTTTTGCTGTACGTATCTGATCCCGATACCTCCATTCCCTTGGTGTTGAATCTGTTAACAGATTTTGGCCCAATTTCGGGCTATAAGCTAAATTTGAATAAAAGTGAATTGATGCCGATTAATAAAGCAGCCTTGGAATACCCATTAGCATCTTTGCCTTTTAAATCTTCCCCACAGTGTTTTAGATCTGTGACAACACTTTTCAGACTTATTTGATCACAACTTTGTCCCGTTAGTTAATCATCTTACACAGGATTTCAAATCGCTGGTCCCTCCTTCCTATATCCCTGATTGGTAGGGTTACCTGTATTAAGATCAGTGGTGGAAAGAGTACTGAAATAATAATATACTCAAGTAAAAGTACCATTACCTTCCAAAAAATGTAGTGTGAGTAGAGTAAAAGAGTAACCTATTTAAAAGTACTCATGAGTATTGAGTAGTGAGTACTAAGCTGTGGATTCTACCCCCTCATAATAAATGCTGTACACCGCAATTTATACATTTTAAAAATGTTGTACATTCTGTAATTCACATCATCTTGTTTGTCATTAAGAATATCTATCATCCAGTAGTTTTAATTTTGACTGCCAACTCTTTAAAATACATCAAAACAGCATTCAGTTGAAGATGAGTTATTCTCAGTACAATCATCCCCATTTAAATCAAAGTTTGAACAAATAGATTTAAAATCATGTGTAAGGCCACGGAGACAGCATGCTGTTGTTGCACATAAAATATTAATGTTTAGAACAGCGCAAATACAAACACTATTAGAAACACATAGTTCAGCATCACACACACCATGAAATGGGTTAAAATGAGAGCCCATTTCTCTCCAAAACTGTGCCAGTTTTAGCGTTTTGCATAAAGAAATAATAACTAAACTTGATCATTTATGTTACAATTTTAACAAATGCACATTGTGCAATACCCGCAACCTCACACCATATTTCAGGCCGTGTAGATAGGCAACCATATATACAAATCATTTAGTAAGCAGAAATCCAAAATTTACCTTAACATATTAAGGTAGAGGAAGCTGCGACTGAATTGATGCTTGAAGAATGCGCTTCCAGCAGCCACGATAAACCGTTGCCGGTTAAAATTTTCTATGCACAATTTGATTTGACGAAAGTCACGAGACCGATTACTATCTCTCGATCCAATCACGTTGATGGGTAAAAATAAAATTAAAATAAGCATGTAACGACCACAAACAGAGGAAAATAGCAGAGTAAAAGTACCGATACATCACTTAAAATGTACTCAAGTAAAAGTAAAAGTACACAATTTCTACTCCTACTCTGCATAGGGTCCATTCATCTAACTTAGTCAA